AGTTTATATACATGTATAATGTATAAGGGATTACAAATACAAGTAGCTAATTAGTTTTTTATGTTGATATTCGCAAGTATATAGCCTTTATTATCAATCGTAGTAAGACACATTGTTGTGAGTTTATAAACACACTAACTGGCAATACAGAAATTATATCTATTGATAGTGATAATTGACAATAAACACTCCGTGACTGTAACAGCGATGTCATAAAAAACTAAAAAGTGTAAAATAAATATAGTTTAAAAAAACTGAAAAACACGCTTTTAAAACATACCCTACTAAATAGTTAAAAATAACTTTTTAGTAGGATATTCTTTAAAAGCGTGTTTTTTAGTTTTTTTAACAAAAATTATTCATTTTACGATTTTGCGCCCGGGGCATAGGCACCACTGCCTTTTCCTTGCTACGGCCCGAATTTGTGACATATGAATAATTCATTTTTGATCGTTTTAAAGGATTTTAAGGGCTTGTCAATGCAGGATTAGGCTAAAATAATTTAAATTTTTCGAAAAGGAGTTAATAATAAATTTAAAAAGTACGGCGGCGAAGTGTCCGGGTTCAAGCTGTATATTTATATTTTAAAACATTAAAAGGCATAGTGCAAATAAAAGTTCAGTATACAATTGTAGAAATTTACTATGAATTTATATTAACTTATTGTGTATACATTTGGAAAGTAAAAACTCAATTTTTTATTGAGATTGTATTAAAAATGCAATAAAGCTTTATAAGTTAAAGTTTAGATAAATATTTTAACTTAACGTTGATATGTAGATTTTACGTTAACTTAATTTAATTTTGTTCATTTAACGACTAAGTTGCCGCCTATAATACCTCTTAAAAAAAAAAAAAATCTATATATATTATTTTTATAAAAATTAGTTCAAAAATATTAATCTTATTCAACGAATAATATGTAACTTCCATTTTACGGTTTCTTGTTTCTTAATTTCAATTTTATTGATACACAACTTCTGCGAAATAGCGAGTCTCGATCAAGTGATCAACTGAACCTTGTCGTGCGGTTTCTCGTAAATAAATTTCTTATATTAATAGATATCTACCGACATTATCGTCCACAGAAAACGTTCAATAAATAACCGGTCTATTATTATAAATATAATGTTTTTGATAATCAATTCTCTTTACATAGTCTCTATTAGGGTGTCTCTTATTTTTTAAATTTTAGTTATTCTTCAGACCAATCAGAAAAGTTTAACCCGTGTCGACTTAGGGTTGAAAATCGATAAAAAGAGGTAGTTTTTCAGTTTTTAGTTATTAACTCGTAAATTAGCGCTCTCACAACAAAAATGTTTGAAACTAAATTGTAGATCGAATTGTTTTGTATAAATTAAGTTCTAATCGTTTTTCTTTGAAATCCATTTAGTTCACCAAAAAATTATTAAAAAATGTAATATTTAGTAAAATTATCAAAATTGAAATATTTACGAATATTCCATTGTATCAGTCGAAGCATATAATATATGGTTCGACTGATACAATGATACAATCATATTATGATACAACCTTGAATAGAAACAAAAACCTAAATTTTCATGAATATATTTTTTTGTTACAAAATAAAAATTTTAAATATCAAATTTAGTTCTGTAGAAATATTTATTTCAAGTTTATACAAGGTGCTTTACATATACCCATTTAAAAACCAGAAAAAAGTAAATAAATAATAGCAAATAACTTATTTTGTTTTATTTTTAATTAAAAGGTATATTGACATATTAGTTTATACAATAATATAATAAAATTTTAAAATTTTTTGTACTTTTGTTCTGAGACGAGTTTAGGCAATATTTGTATACCAAATTAAAGCTTAAAAAATTCATAGATTTACAGATTTATAGTTTTAAAAAAAATTCTGATAGGAATTAACTGATAATAACTGTAAATATCAATTTGAATTGCGTTTAGTTTAAAGGGTACTTATTAAATATATTATGTTAAAATGGTAAAACAGTGGGGTCGTGGCATAGTTGGTTCAAGTATATATGATATCTGATAATGATTAAAATCCCCATCATATGTAATGCTTCCATGTAAATCTGTAAATAGTGTTCAGTTTTAAAAAATTGTCGGATTATTCTAAAACCAGAATGAACTTCTATTTTCTTATTTATATCCTGATTACAAGTTTTATGATTTATAAGTGTTATATATGAATAAATATTTATTATAGAAATTAAATGTACTATATTGAAATTGATATTTAATAATTTAGTATTGTAATTTATCCGAAGAAATTGTAAAAAATTATATAGCAGTTATTACTTTTATGGCAAACATGTATAAAAATTGAAGGGCATGTTGCAATACTTCTTGCAATAAAAAAAATTGTTTGTTACCTATGAATATAATTATTTTTTATATAATATACACATCTAAACCTATTTTTGCGCTAATTTCAAATACACAATTAATTTTTTTCTATCATCTTATTTTTGAGATTATTACTAATTTGTCAAAATAGAGTAAATACTTAAAATATTGGTCCAATGAGAGCTGAGAATTTGTATGGACAGATATAAAAAAACGCAAAGCATTACACCACCAATACCTTATTCGTTTCATATAGAAACTAAAAAACAAAAGAAATATACTCAATTAAGTGTATTCTAAAAATTGATTATAATTATAAAAATTGGGTGTATAATTAATGCCTGGATTCGTCTCGGAACTTTGTCAAAAGTACAAAAAACCGAGTGCCGATCAGAGAATATATAGTGTTATTATAGCAAATATTGCCCAGCAATTTCTCTCATACGGGTAACTTGGACACTCGAGTACCATTTTTGACTTATGCCATACGATATTAATTTTATAATCTTTTATTTAGAATATAATTTTTAAGTAAACACCCTACTTAACTTTGTTATAAGTGCTATATAAAAAAACATATTTTTTGATTTAAGTGGCGCCCTTTAACGGTTTATATCCTTTTTTTTATACCTGATTAGGATTTGCTAACTTCATAGTCGTCTTATGATGACAGCTCAATAAATCTTACGTGCCGAAGGCATATTAGGCTCGTAGGGTCCTGATATAAGGCAAATCTCAGTATCTTACTATTATTTCTGTCATTATTTTAGAACTACTAATTTAAGTTGTTTATTCAATTATCAAAATAAACAATATAATTATTTTTATGTTGCACAATCACTAGTTTCTTTATATTGTTTATGAAAAGTTAAAATATTGATTACAACTAAGTGTAATTAAAAGAAAACATTAATTTTTAAATAAATTTATTATAATTACAGTCATTTACAAAAAATATTAATATAAATAATTTATTTTAACTTTTTTTTTTTTTATTAAGTAAAATATTTACAATTAATAATGTAATAATAATGACAGTAATAATGTTTCAATGTTTTTATTTAACTTACAACAAGTAGCTGAAATAATTTACTAGAAAATTTGAGAATAAGTAGGTAGATATTACTAAATTTTTAAAAATACTTTTACAAATAATATTTTTTCATCTTTATTTAAACACATAAAATAAAACATTAATTTTTATGGATTTTATCAAATTAAAATGTTTAATAACCACTTAGATAAAATATAATTGTCTACACTTAAAAATTTTTATGAATACCACTGCTATACAGATTTTAGTTGATCATTATCCAAGTTGAATTGTTTAGTATGTGCAATATAGATATACATGTATTTTATTTATTTTTAAACATTGACTTGTTTATAATTAGTTAAGTAGGTTATAGTATTGTGTAATAAGTATTAATCATGGATTATCTGAATTGTCATGAGGTCCCTCAGTAGTGAAGCAATGGAAAACATACTCTTAAAGATTTTATTTTATTGTTTTATTTTTATGTGAATAATAGTATATTCTGTAATAATTTGTTGTTTTTTTTTAACTCAACCATGTGTCATGCCGTAGAGCATATGACAAATTGGCGACTCAGTTTTTCATACCTACTGACAATTGTAGTACATATTACAAGTAAGTTTTGTTTTTTATTGTGTTGTAAGCGATTAATTTTCAATAGAATTGGAGTGAAATCATGACATTATTGAAATGTACATTTCTGATTTAAGTGGTAGATGAATTATACTATATTGCGATTGTTTTATGATATAGTTTTTTGTTATTAATTATTTTTTATACTTCGAACAGGCATACCACATAATGCTTACTTATTAGTCTTAAAAACCAACGACTAGTTATATCTGACAAGGAGTTCTTAAATGATGAGATATCAGAGTTTTATCATGTACTGTGCCTTACCAAGTAGTGTTTTGAGTAGTATTTATAGTAATTTTGACAAGTAGTATATTATATCTTATAATACATTAATATATTGATATTTAATATTACTAATATATTAATATACACTTTTTATATTACTTATATAAGCTATTTAGATTAGTTCTCAGTACAAAAAATTTGTGTTTATCATTTCTAAGGTTAAATTGTACACTATTTTAAAAACCTATATATGTGACAAAATATAAAATGCACATTAAGGTCAAAATAATTTCACATTTTGATAAAATTCAATTCTAGAATACAAATCCTTGAATGATCAGGTACAAAACGGAATGAATAAAACTGAAATAACACTATAAAAAGATTACAGGATATTTTCCTAAAAACCCATTTTATAAAATATTGGTCATAAGTCGTTCTAAAAATAAAATTTAATTGATATTAGATTAATTTAATTTAAATAGTAAAAATAAATTATTTCAAGTAGTAATTTTAATTGATATTTAAGGAGAACTTGAAAATTCTAAATGTAATCTTAAAATAAGATACTATAATTTTGGACAATGATTTTAAAAAATACTAATTAATTACAAATATAAAAAATAATTTTCATAAAAACAGTTCTTTTTCTATAACTTTTATACAACAATTGTTAAAAAATGTTGACACAAAAAGATTGTTTTTTGAATGGATCTTACTTATTTAATTTAAAAATTATATATATCTATAAATTATGATAAAACAAATTTTCAAACTTTATTTTAGTTTACAATACATTTTTGTTTATAATATGTTACAAAATGATAAAGAATTTTTAAAAATTTATTGAGAATATCTGAAAAAGTTTGTTTATTTTTATAATATGTAAACTACTGTTTAACAACCACCGACAACATTAATCTGCTCCTATATTCAATATAAAAAAAAGTTATCACATCTTGTCAGGTTCCTTCCAAAATACAAACTAAAATTTTAACAATGAGTTGTATTACACTTTGAATATTGGTTTCATATGATAATTTTTAATTGAGCGATATAAATTAAACAAAAAAATTTTAGCTGCTTAAATTAGTAATGAAAATATAGACATATTAGGATAAAATTAAACAAATTAAGCAATCATCTAAATTAAAGTGTTTTTTTTAAGTTGTTAAGGTTCAATCAATAATAAAAACTTATTGTAGAATAATAACTATAATTTAAGTTTTTTGTAGTACTTATTCTGCTATTTTATATAACATAAAAAAAATTGCATCATAAATGAAAACTCAATAACTCACTAATATCCATTTTTAAAAGTAATTAATTTTAATAAGTTATATTAAGGAACTTATTATTACAGACAAAATACTAATTTCAAAATTTAGATATTACTTGTAAAATAAATAAACAATTTTTCTGTAAATATTTAACTACATAAGCATGCTTAAATGATGGTATTTATGTAAATGGTATAACAGTGTCCTATTAAATATCATCTGAAATAAATTTCTGTAAATTAACAATTTAATACTCAGTTGTTTACATTTTTATATTTTAATAAATATGTTAAGATTTTAAAATAAAATAGAATAAAAGTAATAAACCAAAATTTTAAACATCATGAATAAAAGTATGGAGGATATTATTTTTTAAATTGTCAGTTTATCAAAAATTTTTAATTGAGATAAATCAAGTACAATCAAGGAATGTTAAATTATCTAAGAACACTACATTCGATTTCCAAATATAAATAATATTAAGTATTTGATATAATTATAACATAATTGTAAAACTAATAAATAAAATATTACTTATGAAACAAATGCATTTAAAGTTAACCTTTTAAAAATGTTTTTAAAATTATTTAAACTTTACTATTAATAATTAAGTTTGTTAAACAAAAAGTAAAACAACTAATATAATTATCATATTTTTGATGTGCTGAATTTTTTTCAATTAATTTTAAATGGAATTAAGAATTAGTAATAGAAGTCTTTGTGTAAAATGAATTGACAATTGAAATAAAATTACGCATAATTTACTATAAAAAATACTTTTTTCAATTTATCCTTGAATTGTTTTACACTTTCATATGACTCTTCTTTATCTTCAAAGTATTCTAAATGTGGAAAATATACTTAAGTTATAGCATAAAATTATAATTGACAATTTTTTTTTTGCCAAGTATTTAAATGAAATGATAAAAAATATGATAATTAAGTTTTGTAATATTAGTAATTTAATATATGTAAATGTAAATTATTTATTGACCGTGTTTGAGCACAGATTCATATCTTACTAATACTACTGGCTACAGGCATAATTTGTAAATTAATATTTAAGTCATATTTCAGATATTTTCAGTAAATTGGATATAAAAAAACCTACTATCCTAACAACCAAAAATGAACCCCACATTTCAATGAATACTGTATAATATTAAACTAAGATTAAATATGTCACTTACTTTCAAGGAGATTGACATCTTCTAATCTATTTTTGTCTCTATTTACTCTACGTTTATCTGAATTATCTAAAAAAAATAAAGGAACAATTAAAAATTTTGAGTGCATAAATAATTTAATAATTAATTATATACTTCTATTAAATTTCATTTATACTCAAATCATTTGAATACTACAGATATTAAACATAAAATCTTAAAATTTGATTTATAATTTGTATATAAAATACCTTCAATAAATAATACTTATTTCAAGGTTAAGAAACCTTTTTTAAAAGCTACTATTGGACTGCCAAAGCATTAAAAAAAAAATGATTGCTAGTATTTTTTTTAAATGCCCTGATTCACTACCTAGCCTAGTACATATTATAGCTGAAATACTTTTATTATGCACTTTTCAAGTATAAATTAATTCACAATGGCATAATTTATTAACTACTTATACAAAATAAACACTGTAAGAAATGATCCTAATTTAATATTTTAAAATAGTGTGTGGGTAATGTAATTATAAAAAAACTATAAATGAATTCACAATTATTTTGTATTATGTAATATAAGTCATTATTTTGTAAAACTGAAAACAAAGCATTTTTGTAATGTTTGGTTTAACTATGAATTTCTTGATCTATTATTACAAAAATATAATATAGTCTATTATTTGTAAACCTAGAAGTAGAACACTTATGTAATGTTTAGATGAATTGTGATTCCCCAAATTATTGTTACTAGACCAAGAAGTAAATATTTATAAACATTTTTCTTAAATTATTGCATTATGAATCTCTTGATCTATTATTACAAAAATATAATATAGTCTAGTATTTGTAAACCTAGAAGTAGAACACTTTTGTAATGTTTGGACTAATTGTAATTCCCCGAATTATTGTTACTAGATCAGGAAGTAAATATTTATAAACCGTTTTGAAAATGATTACTATATGAATTTTATAAAAAGACAAACAAAATATTTTAGTATATAAGATGAAATGGAATGAATTAAAAAAGGGAGAAAGAGAAGATCTCGGGAGTACCGAAGGTAATCTCTTTCCGCATGGTACGTTTGTGACATTAAGTTTTTATTTTGTGTATTATTTATTTATCCGGTTTTAAGTGTATCAATATTTTATATGTTTTATTTTGATTGATTATATCTTTATTAACTACATTTTGCGTTATTATTGAACTACTAAAACTATAAGTTAGAACAAAAAGATTGTTCCATATTTAAATACAACAATTACGTTAAAGTAAATGTAAACCTTAAAAATATTTGAGTTAAAAAAAAAAATTCAAAAAAGGCATACTTTTAAAAGTTTAAGACTTATAACTAACTTTAAAATTAAAGACATCAGTTTAAATTACAAGTGAGATTTTTATAGTCATTTTAAAATCACCCGTTTCACTGCTCCATCATTTACATGTTATTTTTGACATGATATTGCTAAAACTAAACACAAATATAGAATTTTATTATTAGGCTATCAAAAATTTCTCATACATTAAATATGTTAATAACTTCCTCTGAGTACAAAGGGGAATCCAAATATTATTTTTAAGAGTAAAATAAAAAAATAAATGTACCTTCTGTTTTAATGCTTATTTCAGGTAATTCACCATGTATTTTCTTCTTGACATCAATAGAGCCACTAAATAATTTTAAAACATTCATAATGATTATTATTATGATAAGTTTTAATAAAAAGTATATTACTTTGCACCAACAACACTTCTAATAGCAGACTGCAATAAACGAGCTGGATAAAAAGTACCAGATTTTTTTTTTACATGTACCTAAAATTTGAATTAAGTTTTTGTAAATAATTACATAAATATGAATTTTTTTATAATTTACTGTATTTAAACGAAGGGCTCTTCTACGTTTTAATTCAGTTCTTAAGTCTACCGTTTCATCACATTTAAGAAAATTTTTTTTCTCTTTAACAAATTTATATATATCCTGATTATTATTATCTTCTCCTGAATCTTCCTCACAACTTTCACTTGACTGTTGTCCTTCTTCTTTTTCACATTTTTCATCAAATTCATTTTCTTCTAATACATCCTCTTCATTTTTTTCTTCTTCCATTAATTTTTCAATTGTACTAGATAATTCTAGTATATCTGTAAATAATTTCCATTAAAAATTGAACAATCCAATATTTTTCTCTAGCAATTGTGATATTTTAAATAAGAAACTGTAAAAATAAACAGAAAAATACTGAACTATTTAAAGAAGCCTACTCTACATAGGTTCTCAATTTAGAGTTAAAATTTAAAAAAAATATTGCTGATATAAAACAATATTAAATCAATTGTATTTAACTTTGGGATATTACATCACTTCAAATTTATATATTACAATATAATGTTTGATGATGGATTAACTACTTATTCCAGATTATTTCTAGTAAAGAAATTTTTTCTTCGGAGGTCTCTATGGCCTTTATTAGGCTGTTAAATTATATATAGTATAATATTGCGTATATTACATGTAATATTCAATAATAATAGTATTTAAATACTTTAATATTAATAGTTGTAACTATGTACTGATAGTTACATACAGATGGATTAATATAAGAGGGCACAGATTAGTCTAGGCTGGTCTAGCCTGGTCCTTTCCATATTTAAGAATAAAATATTATATTTTAATTAATATTAAAATCATAAATTACTGATTATAATACCTTTTTCTTCAATTTGTTGATCAGAAATTTCTTGCCCAAATATGATTCTAGGTCTTTGTTTATAATTTTTTTCTGATTGTGTTATCAATTTCACAATTTTATCTAAAGACTTTGAATTATTTTTAGTTTTTACACAATTTTTAATATTTTGATTCATGTGAGGAGATAATTTAGTTTTTTTGTTTGTTAGAGAAATTTTGTTTGAAACATGAGTTTTGATTTCTTTTTTGATATCAGTTTGAATAGCTACTTGTACAGAATTGGATTTTTTCAAAATAATTTTTTTGCTAGTATGTTCAATAGGTTTATTGGATTCAAATTTTCTTTTTCTAGCTTCTAACACGGGATCTGGTGTTTTATTATCAATTTCTTTATCTATTGATTTTGGTTTTTTTTTAACAGTTATATTATTTTCATTTAAAATATTAGCGTCTTTTCTGTGTAATAAAGGTGATGCACACCTTACTTTTTTTAATGGGCTAGGTGAACGCCTTTTAATTGGTATTCTACATTTAGGGGATCTAGATTTTGATCGTAGAGGTGATCTATTTCTTCTTCTAATTGGTGATAATCGTCTTCCACCTGGTAATATATCTCTTGAAATTGATCCAAGTCTTCTTCTTGGAGACGGTGAATGGTAGGGATAACGAGATTTAGGTGTAGTATATCTTTTAGGAGAAAGATCTTTTTCTCTTAAAGGTGACATTTTTCTAGGTGATCTCCTAGGTGTTAAAGATCTCCGAAAAGTCCTAGATCTTATGGGAGAATATATAAATCTATCTGGTGTAGGAGACCTTATATGTGGAGATCTTGGTGTTAATGATCTTTTATGGAGTTGTCTATATGGAGAAACAGATCTCTTTTTAATTGGTGATGGAGACCTTAGATGAATATGCGGATTTGGTAAACCACTGAATGACGATGAATTTATTACTTCTTCAACAGTTTTAATTGATTCCAATTCTTCTGTACGTTTTGATAGAATTGTTAAATCATCCTTAATATCTGGTTGACTTTCACATTTAATATTTTTAGCTTTGATCTTAGATAAACTTGATTTATCTTTCTTTACTTTATTGAATTGTTTTAAACTTCTTTTTTCTTTAATATTTTTTCCAGCAATTTCAGCTTCCATAATATCCATTAATTTATCCAGATCATCTAAGTCTTCATCTTCTTGGCCTAATAATAAAACATCCCCATCATCAGAATCCATTTTTTCTTCTTTATCTGCATCACTTTTATCACTGCTTTCTTCAGTATCATTTTCTAATCTACTAAATTTAGTAAAAACTAAAAAAAAAAATATTGAACTATTTATTTTACATAACATAAATTACTACTAGAGTTAAAAAAACCTTCAATGTTTTCATTACTAATTTTATTGCCAGAATTTGTATTCAAAGAATCTTTTGAAGACATTTCATTATTAACTTTGTTTTGAGATTTAGTATTCTCTGAAAGTTGATCAGAATCAATTGGAATAATAGAAATTAAATTATTATTTGAATGTGTAGGTCTTCTAAATCCAACCTGTAATTAATACATATGTAAGTTGTAAATTATTGAAGTTAAAATAAATATCTACAAATCTTACATTTGTATATGTGTGTTTAAATGTTCTGTTTGATGGTGGAAATCTACCTCTAATATTTCGATTACCATAATTACTATAGGAACTATTATTTCCAAATTTATTTTTGCTTACATCTCCTGATTTAATACTAATTGTATTAATTAAATTAGTAGGTTTCTTTTTAAATGACATAAGAGCAGCTAAACGTAGTGATTCAACATCATCATCATCAATGTTCTGAAAAATACAAATATAAACAATAGTTAATATTATTCAATTCACAAATTAAAATGTTTAAATATAAATAAGAATGAATCATCCTTCTCTACATTTCTACTACCTGTACAATTTTTTGACATTTTAAATTATTAATGATATTTTAAAGATTTTTATTATGTGTTGTTTAAATTGTTATCCATTTAATAAAATATAAAAAATTATATAAATCTATACTACACACTTTGTTATATTTGTAAAGTGAAAATTCTGCTACTTTAAAGTATTATTGGATAACTGTAAAAATTAGCTAGTACAATTATGTCTTTTTTTGATAGTTTATTTGATAGTAAAAATAATCAAACATAAAAACTAAAAGATTTTTATTTAGAGAAACTTCTGTATCTTTAAAAGAAATGATTGTTTTCATTATATGATCTGCTGTAGGTAAACATACAATAATTTGAAAACCTAGTGAATTAATCTAATATTATATTACATAAATAAATTTTTAAATATTTTGAATAATCATAAGTAGTTGGTATTAAAAATACTTTATTCACACCCTCAATCAATTATAAGATTTCAGATGTGAAATTAAAAAACTTTGCACATTTACATGAATTATAATTAAAAAAAATAGAACACTATAAATATATATATATACTTACATTGTAATTCATGTTTTGTTATAAATGCTAGTTAATCGAAAAAATTTAAATTTGAAAACAAAAAGGATTACAATTTTATGATAAGTTTGACACAGTACTGAGTTTCCCTAATCCGATCACGTTATCAACTTATATAAAAGTGTATCAAATTTAAAGTCATAAATGCACGATTGCCTAGTGGTAAGGTTAGTCCTACGACACTTGTGTCGCGGGTTCTATTCTCGTACCTTGTCTCTTTTTCTATACGATTTCCGGTACACTTTCTATAACAGCCCGTGATAAGTTAGCTAATACATAGTGATATGATTAGCCATAAAAATTAACGTGCTAAACCATAGTAAAATTAATCAAATTATTACAATAAATTATTATATAATAATCAATAAATTTAATTAGTTTATTGAGAAAATATGGTTCTTTTAATTTTTTTAAAATTTATCATTTATACATTTTGCAGATTATATTTTACAAAGTCAACAAATTAATTATTATAATTCTTTTCATTCAAAATATAATTATATATTAATTAAATAATTTATTAATAATTTTAACCGATAAGTTTCAAAAACCAAGAGCGTTATAATGTGTTTTCTTATATGTTTAGATTATATTATTATTTTTATAATATAAATACACAATCTATATTTCAAGAATATATTATACTATCTCTCATATATTTAATAGGTAAAAATGTTATGATAATTTCTATAAATAATGTTGATTGTTATTCTAAGACGTTAACTAATACTCATTAATTTTTTTAGAAATTATTTGATTTTATAGACAATTAACCGTTTCATAATCCATTATAATCACCATTATTAGTGATGATAATAATTATAATATTTTATAATGAATAATATAGTGTTTACATTAAATTCCAATTCATATAATAACTTGTAACATTTTTCAAGAACATTGAAAATTTGTTCATCATGGTTATTGTGTAAATTAGCGTTTTTTACAAAAGTGCTAAAAAATATGTCAAGCGAATCCATTAAGCATTTTTTATTTAAGTTAATAATAGTATTTCTATTTGAATAAAAATCTGCACTGTGTTTTCCAATAGTATACCATCATAACCTAATATAATATATTTATTATTATTATAAAATGAATAATAATTGAATGGGAATATATATAGTATACTAAATTAAAAAAAAAAAAAAAAAACTTTTCTCAATTAATTTTTATTCAAAAATCTCTTCTAAGACTCCTTTAATTTGAAAAAGACTTAGTGGAGACATTGCATAGTAGGGTCCAGTATAGATTTAATCTGACAGTGATTAAAATCACTATCATAAGAAACGCTTCGATGCAAATCTGTAGATAGTGTTTAATTTTAAAAAATTGATGGATAATTGCAAAAGCAACATCAACTTCTATTAAAATAAAATACAAAACCCATAATTATCATACAAAAATAGTATATTTTTCAATATGGTA